CACCCAAAATCACCCTAAATTGCTCTCAAACTCCTCAAATTGCATATTTTCATCCGGGAGACCATCCCCACCCCCCTCCCCGCTGCCATCCCAGGAGCCGTTTTCCTCCCGATGCCGTCAATCGCGCGACGACAGCTGCAAATGCCCGGAATGAGCCTCTGGGCCGGCGCCTGCCAAAACCCAGGCGACTGTCCCACCCCTTTTTCCGTATTCACTTGATCTTTGCTTTTCCGCACCTTTTTTTCAGCGACATCGGAATGGATTCAGTTTTTCAAGGAAGCTGGGATCCCCCCAGGCCCTGCCGTCAACTACGCCGTCATGTTTGTGGATAACAGGTAAGGTCAGCAATAAGGCAGCGCCTTTTCATCGCATCACGGGGGGAAACTAGCATTGAAAGATCCCTCTGGTGAGGGAGAAGGAAAAAATTAACTGATTATCCCGTTCCTTAATTAGTTACGTCAGTTATTCATCTACGCTGAGCTTCTTTTTCATTGTCAGTGCTGTTTCTATGAGGGCAGTGGCATCCAAACTCAGGTTGGGGATATTATGGTGCACCTCGCTCAAGGCTTAATGAACCAGAGCTCGTAATGAGGGGAGACCTCGTTAAGTTGGGTCTTTCCTCACCTCAGGATCCAGAAGAACATGTTGATGGATCTGAACAAGGAGATCATGAATGAGCTGGGCATCACAGTGGTGGGAGATATCATCGCCATCCTCAAACACGCAAAAATCGTGTACAGGCAGGTACGGTGAAGCCTCGCTGGCACGGGTGAAGCCTCGCCGGCTCATTTAGCGGCAAAGTTTTGCCTCAGTGCTCCTCGTTCACCTCCGAAGAGCCTGAGGGAAAACCCTCCTCTGTGTTTTTTTCCTTCAGGAGATGTGCAAGGCGGCCACCGAATCGCTCTGCCCCGGCTCCCCCAGTGTTCAAGCTGAGCTGCGCCGCAACGCCAACAGTGGTGAGCACGGGCGGGAGGTTTCTGGGAGATTAAATCCCCTCGCCTGATTAATGAGGTGAATTAATTATCTTGAAAATGAAGAGCTCAAACGATGGCTGCCTTCCCCATGATCCCAGGGAAGGACCGCTCTTTAATTTAGCTGACAAGATGGACGCTTGTCACACTCACCGAAGCCCCTCAGGGTTTAAAACCTCTCCCTCACCATGCCGTCCTCCCCTTCCAGCCGCGAGCCGGATGATCGCCAACAGTTTGAGCAGAGACTCACCTCCTGCCACCCCACTCCGGCAACGGCCCCACGCCTCCAAAATCTCTGTCACCGTCTCCAACAAACTGGCCACCGCGAAGGCAGGTAGGGAGGGTGACGGATCCCAGCAGAAACAACACCAAAAGTTGCTTTTTCCTTTCTATTTCTCATTAAACACCACCCCCCCCCTCTCCGGGTTGAATTTTAACAGCCACTTTGGATCCAGCTATGGGTTTTTTGAGCTAATCACACAACATCCTTGTCTCTGAAACGGAGAGACACGGATCTGAGGGGTGGAGCCCTTGGTGGGTAAGGAATCGGCCGGATTGTCACACTCCGGCTCGATGTCTTGGTGGAGACCGCTGACAAGCGGGGTCCCTCAGGGGTCCGTACTGGGACCAGTATGATTTAACATCTTTGTCAGGGACACGGACAGGGGGACCGAGTGCACCCGCAGCCAGTTTGGGGGTGACCCCAAGCTGACTGGGGGAGGTTGATGCTCCAGAAGGAGGGATCCTTCCAGAGGAACTGTGACAGGCTGGAGAGGGGGGACCCTTGCCAACCTCCTGAAGTTCAACAAGGCCAAGTGCAAGGTCCCGCACGAGCGGGTCTGGAGGAGGCCGTGGCTGTGATCGGGGGAGGGCTGGAGCACCTCCCGTAGGAGGACAGGCTGAAAGAGTCGGGGTGGTTCAGCCTGGAGGAGAAGGCTCCAGGGAGACCTTAAAGCAGCCTTGCAGAGGGCTGCAGGAGAGGTGTGGGGATCTTTGTCGGAGGGTGTAGAGCCAGGACAAGGGAGAACGGTGTTAGACTGGAAAAGGGGAGATTTCCATTAGAAATTCTTGACCGTGAGGGTGGTGGGACACGGGAACAGGCTGCCCAGAGAAGCTGTGGACGCTGGGAGTTTTCAAGGCCAGGCTGGACGGGGCTGGGAGCAACCTGGTCTAGTGGGAGATGCCCCCGCCGACGGCAGGGGGTGGACGGTCCTTAAGTTCCCTTCCAGCCCAAACCATTCTGTGATTTCGTGGTTGGGAGTAGCTAGAGGCTGGGGGGAGGGTGTTTACAGAGCCCCAGCACTGCGGGAGATCTGTTGGTGCCGTAGCAGCCAGTTTCAGAGCTCACTTGAGCCCAGGGTTGTGCCCAAGCGCTCGGGAAACCCTTCCACCCCCTAAGTCTTGTTGGAACGAGAGCTCTCGGTTCGCTCTTCCTTCGTCCAATCAGGTTTATGCGACGAGGCAGACGAAAATCCAACGATTCCGGTAAAACGCCGCCGGGTGACAGCGGAAATGGAAGGGAAATATATCATCAACATGCCCAAGGGCACCACGCCGAGGACAAAGAAAATCCTGGAGCAGCAAGCAGCCAAAGGTACCAGCGTGGGGTTTTGATCTTCATTTTCTCTTCCGGAAGCCCAGTTTAGTCCCAGTTGAGCCCATCGTTACAAATCCCATGAGGATTCTCACATCCAGAGAGTTATTGGGTAGAAGTTGTGTTATTCCAAGGATATACTAACTCACCACGAGCCATAAAGGTTCCACTCGTGTCTATTTAAGCCTTAGGAAGAAGGGGGCGGGTGGCCATTCACGTGCTTTTATTGAGTGGATTTTATTTTGCCGGGTGCCCCGACGGTAGGACAGGGCAGTGAAAGGCCGTGAGCCCTCAGTGCTGACCCCGCGTAGCTTCATTTTCCGTGGAAACCCCCGAAAACCCACGTTTTCTTGAAAACTGCAGGTCTGCAGAGGACATCTGTCTTCGACCGGCTGGGAGCTGAGGCAAAAGCGGACACGACCACAGGAGGGAAGGTGAGAGGATGCGGGTTTTCGGCTGCGGCTCCGCTTAGCCCTCACTCTCGGCGGCTGTGCCAAACCCCACTGAGATCCCAACATGAGGGTCCTCTCCCCAAAGATTATTTTGGGATTCACAGCCACCCACTTGCCACGGAGGGGCTGAAGGAACCTGGAAATAACCGGAAAACGGTGGGGAAACACCGGGGAAAAGCAGGGTGGAGCCACCAAAGGCAAGCGGATCCCCGATCCCTGGGTGATCCCTGTCTGTGCTTCTATTTTGACCCCTTTAATGGGGGATGCGGGAGGTTTTTTCTCTCCTCTGGAGGTAAAAACCTCAGCATGGAAGTCTTGGGCTGTAAAACAAGTTGCAGACTCAGCCCCTCAAGAAAAATAAGAGGGAATATGATTTTATGGGTGATTTATAGCCCTGTTTTATAGCCTAATCGTTAATTTAATTGCTGCAGGCAGAGTTTTGCATCATTACATCCCAAAACACTTCGTGGGTGAGGTCAGCATCCATCTTGCCTCTGTCACGTTGGCGGAATTCCCGGGGGGGGCAAAGGGGAAGGGGAGGGTAAATCGAGCACCCAAAATGGGGGTGTGGGTGCTGATGGGCTCTCCCCCCCCGCCTTGTCTCCCAGCCCACAGGGGTCTTCAGCAGACTGGGTAACGCCTTGGGGACCGATGGGGACAAAGCCACGGAGAGCGATGACGACTGCTCTGTCCTCCAGTACGCCGGCGTCCTAAAAAAACTCGCCAAACCTCCCCGAAAGGAAAGCGCCGAGCCAGGGGGGGCCGTCAAGGCGAACGCAACCAG